GGTGCAGGGGCTGGAGACAGTGAACCCCTCCTGGGGGCCACAGCCACAGCCTGCCTCTGGGCTGGGAGAGCAAGGGAGGGTGAGGAGGGGGAGCCAGCGGGGGAACCGGGGCAGGAGGAATGCCCCATCTGCACAGAGCCCTACGGGCCCAGTGAGCACCGCCTGGCGCTGCTGAACTGTGGCCACGGCCTGTGTGTGGACTGCCTGCACCAGCTGCTGGTCGCGGCCCCCAGCGCCGACCTGGGCCGGGTCTGCTGCCCGCTCTGTCGCCAGAGGACACCCATGCTTGAGTGGGAGATCTGCCAGCTGCAGAAGGAGCTGCTGCAGGCGGACGGGCCCCAGGGCCCACGGCCCCCCACGCCCCCTGCACCTGCCCGCCGCGGCCCTGGGCCCTGGGCGTCCCTGGAGCACCGGTACCAGCTCCGCTTCCTGGCAGGACCCGTGGGCGGCCGGGGCTGCCTGCCTTTCCTACCCTGCCCGCCCTGCCTGGGTGCCCGGCTCTGGGCCTTGCGGGAACGGGGACCCTGCTCCCGCCGCCTAGTGCTGCTGGGCCTGCTGGCCCTTGAGCTGCTGGGGCTGCTGCTCATTTTCACGCCGCTCATGCTGCTGGGGCTCCTCTTTATGCTGCTGGACCGCGCTGGCCACTAAGCGGCCCGGCACACCTGCCGCCCGTGCCACCAGGGCCGCCGAGGGGCCAGGAGGCCCGGGCTTGCCCTGAGGCCTGATGGCCAAGCTGAAAAACCCAAGACTGAGTGGGGCACTGGCCTTCAATCAAGAACCAGGTCTGGGGCCAGGGCTACCCAGGAACCTGTGTTCAGCCTCCGACCGTGCCAGAGACTTCAAACTACCCTGCTGCCCAGACGCTACTGATGCCCAAGGGCGGTGCTGGAGGAGGTCTGCAACCAGGGCCCCCCCAAGCACCCCCTCGATGGAAGGGTCCCAAACTGACACAGCCGTCTTCACCCCGTCTCCCTGCCCCGCCCGGCCTGTCTGCAAGAGGGACACAGCGGACACGAAAGTGAACAGAGACGTCTGGTAGTGAGGTGACTCCTTGAAGAGAGTGGGGCCCTGGGTGCAGGTCCCCCCACCTGGTCATGTTCCAGATGAGGGCCAGTGTGTATTCCCTGAAGGACAGGGCACCAGAGGGGAGGGGCCCTTGCCGCGCAAGCTCAGGCCACAAATAGCGCCCTCACTGGCTGGGTCAGGACCCAAGGGGGCGGCCCGAGCGGCCAGGTGCCCGAACTGCAAGGAACAAGGGCCCCGCCAGGCCTTGGAGCTGGGGAGCACTGAGCTGAGGCCCAGTGCCCTGCAACCTCATGTCATTGAGCCCTTTATCTAAAGGACAAACACAGAACGGCCTCGCGGGCTTGTGCCCAGCGCAAGGAATGGCTCTCAATAGACAGCAGCTCTCCTGAAACCACTGTTACTGTGTTCTTGCTGTCTCTACCCCTTCTTCGGCATCCGGGGACTCTCCCCAACCCTTCCCTCCTCCCCCCTCCACTGCAAAGGCTCTTCCCCAAATCCAGGTAGTGGAGTATGAGATAGAAGGCCCCCGAGTCCTCCTACCCCACCAGGATCTCAGCCAGTCTTGGTCTCAGTCCTGGCTCAGATTGGCCCAAAGGCCCTTCCCATTCAAGTTCAGAGGGTCTGGTGGGCACCAGGAGCCCGGTGGACTGAGGTGTCCCCCGTACAGCTGCCCCCACATCCAGGGGCCGGTGCAGAGGACGTGTCTGCCCTTTGCCCATTCTGCACCTCTGCCCACACCAGCACACACAGAAGGCTGGCTCTGCACAGACGTGCGGGGCATTCACGTGCACACACGCACATGCACATCCAGGCCCAGCCCTCCTGAGCGGCATGCCTGGCCCAGCCTGGTCCCTCCCTGGCAAGCAGAGCAGGCTGGCCCCAGGAGGCACTGGGCCTCCCTCTGGTGGCTCCAGGCTGGACCCTGTCTGGGCCACAGCCCTGGGCACAGGCCGCAAGAGCAGGCTTCAGTCCAGGGAACAAGGTGCAAACTTTGGCAAAGAGTTTTAATGGCAGAGTTGGTTGCAGCGGCAGTGCCACACGGGGAGGGGCCGGAAGCGGTGGTGGGTGAGGGGTCAACAGGCGACAGGGCAGGGCCGGATCCCTGAAGAAGCGGCGAGCAAGGACTGGCGGGCAGCGTCGAGCGGGCGGGTGCTACATGATGGAGCAGGCGGACAGCGGGTTCCGCACGTGGCAGGTGCACGCGGCCCCGCAGTACTGCCGGAAGGTCTGGTAGCAGCTGCCCTCCGGCTCGCCCCCCCACTGGCCCCCGGATGGGGCGGTCAGTGCCTCGGGTGGCAGGCGGCTCAAAATGGACGTGTTGACGGCTAGTGCGGCCAGGCCGTAGTCCGTGAAGAGCACAGTCTCCCGGCGGCAGGTGGGACAGGAGATGAACTTGTACTTGGGGCAGGACTCATAGAGAATCTGCAGGCACTGCTCACACACGGAGTGCAGGCAGGACAGCACGCGGGGCCGCCGCTGGGTGACGTTGTACGTGTGCCCGCAGGTGGGGCACTCCAGGGGCTCACCTGAAGCCGGTGCCGCCGTGGCGGGGGGCCCCGAGGCGGCAGGGCCGGGCCGCACCACATACTGATTCACAATGACCTCGTCCGCTGGCGCCACGCGGGGGAAGCCCAGCTCCACACTGCCCTTTCGGGGCCGTCGTGGCAACGGAGGGGTGCGGGGCGCCCCATCCAAGGTGGGCATGTCCCCCCCACACGCCTGGTTGACGATGATCTCTGTGTCTGAGGGCCAGGCGCGTTTGGGTGCCAGAGCAGGGGTGGGCCTCGGTGCAGGTGGGAAGCAAGCGGCAGCCGCCTGCAGCTCGGGGAACTTCTCAGGGTGAACAATCTTCATGGCCTCCATCTTGAG